ATATTTTCATATTGGTTTTTGAAATTCTCTATATACATATTAGCCCTTTGCTTGTCACTAATATTAAAAATATGTTTGTATTTTCAGTGATTTTTGCATTTGTTCTTGCCATACAGAAGTTTTCATTTTTGTGCAGCCAAATCTATTTTCCTTTATGGTTCTGGATTATATCCTTGCTCCAAGGGCATAAAAATATTCACCCATGTCACTTCTATAACTAGGGGAAAACACTTTTTAAGGCAATTTCTATTAAGAAAATGAGGGCAATAGGAAGACACAAGAGAGACCTTGGAGAGGCTGCATGACGGGGCAGAACCAGGCTCAGCCAGAACTGTCTCATGGGAAGGTGGCTAAAAAGCCACTGAACAGCTCCAGGACAGGCACAGCTCTGCCCTAGAGAAGACTCTAGAGAGAAAAAGATTATTAAAATACCCACACCAGGCTGCCCAGTTAGCTCAGTTGATTAGAGTGCAGCCTTGTAACACCAAGGTCATGGGTTTGGATCCCCATACCAGCCAGCAGCCAAAAAAGAAAAAATACCCACACCCAATACCTTTGGCAAGCAAACCTTTTTGAGCACCTACTAGGTGCCAGATACTGAGTATATACATGAACGGACACTCAGTCCTGGCCTTCACAAAGCTCATGGAAGGGAAGGGGGACTAGCATGTAAACAGGTGACAAAACAAGGTAACTACTATGATGAGAAAAGGAATAAAGGCCTAGGAGTTGACCTGAGGAGGTTCACCGCTTCTGCAACCTGAGTAAAATCTGGGAAGAGTTCTCGGAAGAGGTGACAGATGCTCTGGGTTTTGAAGTTTAAGTAGGAGTTTGCCAGATGGAGAGAAGAGGAAAAGTAAAAGAAGGAAGCCTGCGTTCTAAATGTTTTAAAGCAAAGAACACTGGAGCCAGGAGGATGGAGTTGAAGGGACTGGCAGCAAAGCCCCACTAAGGGGGATAACAGCAACCCCAGGCACTGCGCAAAGCACATCACATCTCTCTAAATTCTTCCAAAGACCCTGTGACATGGGCTTTATTCTCCCCACTTTATAGATGTGTAAACTGAGACTCAGAGAGATGAGGTCACTTGCCTGAGGCCACACAGCTAGTGAGCAGCAGAGATGAAACTAAGATTATTATTATTTTTTTTTTTTAAAAGATGACCGGTAAGGGGATCTTAACCCTCGACTTGGTGTTGTCAGCACCACGCTCAGCCAGTGAGCGAACCAGCCATCCCTATATGGGATCCGAACCCGTGGCCTTGGTGTTATCAGCACCGCACTCTACCGAGTGAGCCACAGGCCGGCCCCTGAAACTAAGATTCTGTTGGAGTAAGCAGGACTGAATCCACGTTGGGCTGTAGGCAAATTTTAAAAAGACACTGTTCTTTTCTTGGCATGCATTTCTCTGAGTTCTCTCTTTTCCCATGGTTATTTGATATTGTGAAACTTGGTTATGGGACAAGATGACATTATTCACACAAATGTAAAGTTGTTTCCCAGCCAGTCTGGAGCTGCAGACTCAATGCACTATCCAGACCCTGGGAAACCAAGAAAGACATCAATAAAGCTATGCTGATTCCACCCTCCAGCAGGAACCTGAGATAACAGCAAAGATGGGAGCAGAAACCAGGCAAAGTCTTGGCACTACTTTGCACCTGAGACCTTGCGTGGAGCCCTTGCTGCTCACACAGACCTTGCTGTGCCCCTCCCTCCTGCTTTTCATTTCCCACGTTCCATTCCCTCAGCCCCCTCGTCAAAAACCCGTCAGTAAACCTGAGTCTTTGAGATGGCTTCAGCCTGGCCATTCTCCTTCAGGTTTACCAGAGAGAGATGTGTTGGCCCAACATCTCTCCTCAAGTCACCAGTATTCCTGAATAAAAGCTGACTTCCATTTTCACCAACATTTTGACTTTTGGTTTGCTTAATTTTGTCTAGGGGCAAGCAGCCAGACCCGTATGCCCGGTATCGAATTCTGAGAGCTTCAGCCAGGAACTGAGTGGGTCTGGTAACAATGCCAGAGTATGTGCTCTAAGCCTCTAATTTTACTTGGTTTTGTGGGGTGTTTTTAGGGGTGAAGGGGGGTGTAGTTCTTATCAAATGAATAAGAACAGAAAAACACAAGAGAGAGCAATAAAGATTTTAAATTTCAAGGGGACTGGAGGACAAAGAGTCCAGGCTTGTGGGTCCCTCGGATTTGGTTTGAATCTCCGGCGCTATCCCTCGTTGGCTGTGTACATTTGGGCAAATTGTTTACCTTCTCTGGGCCTCAGTTTCCTCATCTGTAAAATGGGCACAGTGACTCCCACTTCAGAGGGTTGCTATGGCACGTGCCAGGAGATAACACATGTTATACTCGCACTGAATATTTGTCTCATTGCGATTCTGAGAGGGAAGTTTGGGGAGACCCAGTGGGTCTAGTAGTGGGAGGAAGATTATAACGGGGCCTAACGTGCAGATCCCCTCATGATAAAAGACAGCAGGGGGTCAGGGGAGACCGCTCACATACCATAAAAACCAAAAAAGCTATCCACATGCAAGCCCCAGTTATATCCGAGAGGCCAGTGGAACTTCCTCCAGACCAACCTGGTAAAAATCTGCCCCATGTAGGCGGGAGCAGGCTCGGTCAAGGCCATGGTGCAGAGGCCCTGGAGACAGGCAGCCTGTGACAGGCAGCCTGTGACAGGGTGCTCACAGCCCTGCAGAGATGGACACAAAGGCGCTTCTTCACAGCAGCACTTTTTACCAAAGCCGAGGAAAGGTGGATGCCTCCCAAAACATTCATCATTAGGGGCCCAACACAATAATCTATCCATACATGCCGTGGTTTTCTAGAACCATTCGGTGGACTGCCATGTACTGATGAGAAAAGATGTCAGAGATTAAAAAGAGAGAGAGAGAGAGAGAGAGCTGGCAGGTTGGCAGGTCACCTTATTTGGTTAGAGTGCAGTATTGACAATACCAAGGTTTGGATTCCTGTACCAGCCAGCCACCCCCAAAAAAATTTTTCTTAAAAAGAGAGAAAGCATAGAGAAGGCCAAATGGTGGACGCAGGATAATCCTATGTATAAAAGCATGACACACACATATATAGTTATGCATATACATATGTATACATGTATGTTTAGGCCTGTTTAGGCACAGAAAATTCTGGAACAAACAGCTAATGAGGTTATGTCTGGAAAGAAAGAATGGAGGGAGGAGTGAAGGCTTTACTTCTCATATCCCATCCCACCCTTCTAAACTGCTACAATTTTTACCATGAAAAATTTAAAACTTTAATAACAATTACAAAAATGTTAAAAAGAAGTACAGTGTGGCTTCTTTCAAGCTGGGCA